TCTGTCTCCCACTTACGACCATTTGTGCCCATCTGTCCCCATCTAGCAAAAGAGCCAGTTAGGTAATATTTTGATGTGTCACGCTTGTATACGCGTTTGATGCGTTTAACCGGACGCGCTGTTGTCTGTCGCGCACTCAGTGCTGCTGATCATTGGGGACAAAGTCTCATGTTGGAATGACAGCAAGTTACAACATTTTCATTCGCACTTCACAACTAGCTTTGCTCAAAAATTCAATGTATTTAAATGCACAAGCTAAGGTATCTGTAGCGCAGATACTGTGGCGTCTTCTTGTCAATCAGCCCCGGCGAAGGTGCGCCTGCAAACACCTCACAGGCCACTAAACACGTATCCTCGACAACTTGAACGAACCTCATTAGATAGTAGGTGCAGCTCCTTCAGTTTTGAGCTCATGCTCCCCGCCTAGCGCAAAACATCTACCGTCTCCACCCTGGAAGGCGCAAGCGCTGTACAAACTGACGAGTACTGCTCGTAGTTGGAAAGGGTCAGCGGGTGGTTATGCTGCAGCTTCGCTGTAGTAACGCACAACGCGAACACAGGGTCGTGTGTGCTGCCGTTGACGACGCGGACACAAGCGTTAATCTGAGGAAGAACACATATATTGTCATTAACAAAGCTCATCCGAGCCCATCCAGCATCAAGCGTCCCCATCTGAGCCCAACTCGCCAATGTTTTGCCCATCTGGGCCCAAACGAAGAGAATACATACCTGTGCACAACACTCAGTCGATCGGACTTCCTGACGCGGTCGCTTGCCTTTGCCGCGCGTCTTGTAGCTGCCAGCGTGGGTGCATACAAGGGTCTTGTTGTACCAGATCCACTCCTCTGGGATCAGAGGAGCTGTGGCATTCTGCTTCTTGATCTTGCGGTTGCGCTCCTGGACCTTGTTGTTGGTACGGATGCGAAAGCTCTGACAGGTGCAGTTTGTTAGAAGACCGCAACAACCTCGCACAAACGCATAGCGTTGCGAACCTGGTACGTCTGCGCCATGTACGCATTAAGGTAGGCATGAAATGACTCCCACGAGTCAAACTGCGTCTGACCTAGTGCTGTCGCTGTTGTCGCTGGCGCTGTCATCATCAATCGGAGAAGCGTGCTGCCGGCGCTTCTGTGCGGAACGCGGTCGACGCTCCATTCTCGCCGCTTCGCAAATTTCTCGAATGAGGAGCCAGAAGCCACTCGTACCTGTATACCTGTATACACCCCCGTTCGGATAGAGTACATGCACAGGGACGGGCAAGGCATACAAGGATTAGGGGATAACAAAGAAAAGACCCGCTCTCAGATGGGCACAGAAGCCACTCTCTTTTTTTTAATTCGAACATCATTGTTCAGTCGAGAGCCTAGATTTATCTCCTCCCACTACAGTATAGCAATCGAATCTTTCCATTTGCTCTCAGTTCTAAATTGTTCATGAAAACAAGAAGAAGATGTACGCGAGCTGCTACCGTCGTTGGACAAAGTAGCAGACAGCGAATACAGGGTATGAAAGCGCCTCATAGGCTCAATAATTGACAACGGCATCATATACGGCGTCACGCGCGAGTGTCTCGTAT